AAAATTTCAATATCATGGATATGTCTGTTTTTGTCTCTTTTTTGCTTTGTAGTATACGCGATACACACCAAGATTGTCCTTGCTTTCAGAATGTTTGGCTCTGTAGACCAAAATCCCGACACGTCACCGGTTGTAACCGAGGTACTGGGAAAAGCATCTGACGTGCCTCCAGGAACGTGAGTCGTTGAGTTTTTGAGAAATTTCGATGAAATCTAAATATGTGCTGTGAACAAGAGTAATTTTTTTCAGGAAAAAGGAGTTCAGGGTCAGACAGAAGCCAATATTGGTTATCAACGACAACGGGAAATTCTATGCCACGTCTGGTCTTTGTGCTCACTACGAATATCCGCTAGAAAAAGGTGAACAACGAGCTCAATATTCCCTTTCCGGCTTGATTCCTTCACCACTGTCACAAGATATTTATTTATTTTATTTATTTATTGGTCAATCACAGACAAGGTACGGCACAATGCAGACATTTAAAGGCACGCTTCGGGATTAGGCAGACTCACCTGTTCCATCCCCGGAGGCAGTAGACAGGCGGACAAGCGTTGATGTCGCGCCCCTTTTGCGGCTTGAAAGTGCGCGACAAAGGGCAAGGAGCTCGTCCGACCCGCAACTCACACCTTCGTCCGCAAGCCCCACCCTCCGCTGTCGGTTGCCACGTGGCGCTGCTTGAAAAGCGCGGGCGCATTTGAGGCAGCGGTCCCATTGCGACCCAATGTCATTGGCACTGGAGCAACTAGAGTTAGGTTCGTGAAACTCGTCCAACACGCCTTTCTCTATCCAAAGGTGGAATGTGGCTGAAAGAGAAGAGGTTCCTATGTAGGGCGTGATCGGCAGGTTTCCTTTGCTTTCTCTTCCTTTTCAGACCACCTGTAGGCCTATAAGTGAACGTGCTTCCACACCCATTTTATCCCAAAGTTTGTCTACAATTCACAACCGATTGAATTCACTTCGTGGCCAAGAAAAAAAAACGAATTTTTTTCCATATGAGATGGAACTTCATGAGAACTTCATTGGAACGTTTATGTGAAGCTGATTTGGAGCAGTACGTTCTGGGTATCGTCTGGAAAATTCTTAAAGGTTATAAAGCTATTCTGAAAGTAATAACTCTAGTGCTTCGAGACGCGGGTGCAATTATTCCAGGGGGGGACACCCGACATTGCTACATTGCTGACGGGGGAAGGGGAGGGGCCGGTATCTGTGGTTTTCGGATTGGGGTCGTGCTGATCCTTCAATTTGCCCGACGTTTGCCCGATGTCCGACTACGGGGCGGCAACGATCGAAAAGCTTGGAGTGACCTGGTGCGACTAGTTTACTGAGTGTGTCCCACCTTTTTCAAGATGTATCAGTTAATGATATCCCATCAATTGAATGTCATCATTATTTTTGAATATGATAATAAATTTTCGACATCTAGTTGCCATCGTAGTCTTTCAGGTTTTCATAGAAACTAGTTTGGAGATTCGGATGCTTTGATATGACAGATCCTTCTCAGGTATCTATTCACATGGTAAAATTCGATGTGTACTTCATGGATCATGTTACAATGTTAAAACCGGTGACATAGAGGATTATCCAAGTTTCGACAGCCTGCACACTTACGAGGTGGAGTCTTTCACACTTATTTAATGCTTTTCATTTGTTTCAGTTTTCCAATTTCCAATTTGGGGGGTTAAAGTTAGCTAATACGCAACTCTCATGTGGAATAAAGCAGTCTTGCCCAAATCGCGCGCGTTACTAACGAATATTTCGTACAATTTCGCCCTGCAGGCGGCTCACTCATTATGTAGGGCTCGCTCAATAGTACACTATCCGACCTTGGCGATTGCCATTTTTATGTGAGACTTCGACGTGCACGGAGACTTGCAAAGGGATTGCATGGGTTTCTGACCCGTAATGGAGTTCTGAAGTTCATCGGTGTGCTTGGAGCGCTTCTATTCTTCAAGACGAATGTGTTGCCTTTTGACTGACTCCTTAAATGGGAAATGCTTCACTTGAATGGGGATAAAGCGGCGGACAGCGTTGCCTACTGCTAAAAGAGCACCATTTTCATTTAACTTCGCGGCAGAAACCGAGTATACTTTGGAATTGTGTGCCAGTGGTCCTCTCATTTTGAAAAAATAAAATCGCGTTCTGACCAAGAAGAGTTGATAACAAAGTTGTTGCTCGGAAAACACATGGATCTGTCGACGTTACTCTTCTAGAGGAATCCTGCAAGAAGGCCGCATGTTTCTACAGGATCCTCATAACTCATATGTAGCTTGAGAATAATCTTCCATGATTGGAACGAGCAGAGCGGAGAAGTTGTGTTTGTTTTGGTAAATAACTGGAAGAACCAAAGAAACTGTCATTTATTTGAATTCCCGCCATAGAAATGTAGCAAATGTAGATGACGGGAATGTTTTCATTTGTTCTTGGGGCGCTGCCACTAATTTTTTTGGAATAATTTTTGGTCTACTCACCTATGGCAAGAGCGTTCACTCTCCTACGTTGGTGGTGCTACGCGATGGCGTTCTGTTCGTCTGCACTCTGAGGCTTAGTCCGGGGTGTTACTGTATTTCGAAGCCTAGGAGGTACGACCGAGTGCCGCGTGGCACCTCTGCCGTTCAGGCGAAGTTCCACCCGTTTGTGCCTCTTACCAGGAAGGTCTTTCAGGGCGTGCCAAGCTTTTTGAAAACGGTCTTTTGCATGATATAGGGGCACATGCGGGAACCACAGAACCATGGTTAATTTTTCCTGAACGGCCCTCTGAATACCAGAAAAGGGGTCCCTAGTTCGATTCCTCGTGGTGACAAATTTTTGCATTTCGAGTTGACGTGCCAAAATTCGCGCAAAATGGAGTTAGAACCAACCAGAACAATCAGAACTCCATTTTGCGCGAATTTTGGAACGTCAACTCGAAATGCAAAAATTTGTCACCACGAGGAATCGAACTAGGGACCCCTTTTCTGGTATTCAGAGGGCCGTTCAGGAAAAATTAACCATGGTTCTGTGGTTCCCATGTGCCCCTATATCATGCAAAAGACCGTTTTCAAAAAGCTTGGCACGCCCTGAAAGACCTTCCTGGTAAGTATGTAGCCGTATCTCGTTCCATGCACACCCTTAACCCCGCCCTGTAAATTGCCCACAGTGTTTTTCGGCAGTTTGTTCCTTTTCTGAAACTGAATTAAAGGCAAACCCCGGGATAAAACCGGTGATAAGAGCGCTTCGTAGTGATGACTGAGCTGCGGGACGGCCTGAAAGTGGAAAGGAAAGCTAGAGAAATCTTTGGGATCGCTGAAATTAAGGCCTTAACCTTCAAAAAGGTCGGATGTGGAACGATGGCGAGGCAGGGCGGTCAAAGAAGACAAAACACGCGAGAGATCACGCCGTTCGAGAGAGCACGCCGATATCGAGGTGGGTGGGAAGCGTTGCAACGGGGGTCGATGGTTGCAGGCCCGTAAGGATTAGCGCCCTAACCGCGCAACTTTTGCGGCGAAGCTGGAGTGATCTAGGTAGGTAGGTTACAATTTCCCTCGCGGTATCCTTCCCACAAGTCGGGCTGAATCCGGGGTTTGCTTTAACATGCTCGGAACTTTTGACACGGCAACTGGTCATAGGAGAGATGTCAGCGCAAGCAAGGATCAGAACAATAACCGTGCACCGTTTATTTGACGCCAGTTAATGATGGTCACTAGTCATCTGCTTCATGTCCCTCTATTCTTCGCCTGTTTGACCTCCTAAGGAAAACCCCTTTTTTTAAAGTATCACTTGAGCGCTCTAATTCAAAGAAAGAGGTACAAATGTCATGTTCTTTATACTGTGATCTGAGAAACGATTGTTCATACTCTAACCAATGTCTCAGCCATCTCATCGCCTGCTTGGGAATAAACTTTGAAAAAAATCCAAAAAAGTGCGTAGGGTTTCGTGCCGGGTAAGTCAGTTCTGAAGCGAGGAACGGTTCCAATTTTGCCAATCACATGAGCGACGATATGCTACCGATTATTTGAGGATTCTTCAATGATTTGATCACAATCTGATAGTCATAAAGTGAATAAAGTAATTGATTTCTGAACCATTTTCCAGGTGAAAGAGGACGGGGAAGGGGATCTCGTTCTGACTACGACTGAAAAACAACTGGAATCGGAAAGAAGGACTCGAATGTGCGGCATCAAAACGCTATCCAACGAAACTCCTATTATAGTAGTTGGTGGAGGTGAGCACCTTGAGGAGAACTTCTGCAAAGCCTATTGGTGAACTCTGCTCAAAAGTACCAACGGTGGATGCGATAGATTTCCGTGTCCCCTTTGACAACTTCCCAACTCGAGACGGGATTTATAATTTGAAAAAGTCTCGACAATGGGTAATAATCGAAAGTTTTGCTCATTGTCATGTTTAACCTTTGTTGACCACCCATCTTTACTGAATTTCGGGGCTTCCCTCTTACCGACAGTGAACCCGCTTTTCAAGTTTATTTCAGTCTCATTTTTAAGTGGAAAAGTTTGAAAACGCTGCATTTTGAAGCATTTTTGTAATTGCTTGGTTTTATGGCACGAAACTATTACTTAGCCAGATGTCACTGACAAAAACTCATTTGTTTCTGTTTCTCGTTAGTGCGGAGTTTCCTTCACATTATACGCAGCTCCCGAATGAACCAGTTGGTCCTTTTTTGCGCGCTATCGGGCTACTTTTGGAAAATTTTGTCGCTGCCAAACAGCGCGTAGATAAGTCAAAGGCATGCCCCAGGATCAAATTGGTGTGGCTCTTGCACACGAATGTGAATGTATTGGTGCGAAGTGGGCCGGCAGTGAAGAAAAAAGGAAAAGAATCCGTCGAAAACGCTAGGTTAAGGGCTCACTCACCTTCGTAATCGGCTGTGCTAATGCAGTGAGAAATTGAGCATTGAAAAGAAAGTATAGCGAGAGAGCAGCATAGAAAGGGTCAGACAACAGCCTGATAAAGAAAAAATTGCAGCTGCAGCAGCTTACTTTGCAAGGCCCAGCGCTCTTGTCGGTTGATTTCCGTGCACGGAATGCCACATCTGTGATTGTCCTCTAGGGTCTATCCACAGGGTGAAGGGAATCGTTCACACGACTTCTGCCCGGCTTGTGGCTTCAAGCTCTCTGAAGGCATGGTATCCCAAGTTGGTGGTTGATCTGGAGAAAGCATCCTACTTACTATAAAGCGCTTCGTCTGTCGTCTGTCGTTCTGTCTGTATGTCTGTCACGAAATTCCCTAGCTCCTCGGGATCCGCCTGGAGGGACCGGGTCAAGTGTGGGACGGGTGGGCAAGGTCTCACGAAGTACAAAACACACATCAGCTAAGCGGAGCCCCGCCCACAGTGGGCGTGGCGTGCGTCGAAATGAAGTGTACTGACGACCAGATTTCAATTCTCTGACAAAACGACCTCGAAACTGGGCCAAAAAGTGGGTAAAGGTGTGCATTGGTAAGTCACATCGAATTAGGGAGACCCACCCCGGTG